ATAATGTGGTCACCCAGTAAGCACAGACACTTACAAAACTGCCTTATGGTGCTTGAAATATAGCTTTCCCTACCCAAATGGCAATTTAAAGAAATGTTCAGGATTAGCTCTAAAGTATAAAGTGAAGGCAACGGGCTGATATGTAAATATCAACCACACAGTCGCCAGACCTCCCAGGTTAGGTTTAATATTCACTAACCAGAAAAGACTGTGCGAAGCTTGTTTCAATGGCGAGGGAGGGATGACAGAATTAAACTTGATTTAATCTATCTTCCGAGGAGGCTCTTTTGCTCCATTCACCGGAGTTCCAGGAGTAACTATCTCCCCTCTTGGTCTTGCTGTGTTGATCCCAAACACATCTCTGAAGTGTTAAAAATAAAGAGCAGAGAGAGCTATGAACTGCTGTCAGTACTGCACACTGTTCAGTGTTCTGCAGCAAGAAGATGTAATAAGAGGTAATTCTCCCAAACCGGAAACTATTCATAGTCCATTACTTCAAGATTAAAAAATAATCAGTTACAAGTTTTAACACATTCTTCTATAAACACATACATACATAGCAGGCTTTAGCAGCATGATCAACAGCAAAGAAATAAGTCTTCAAGCGCTACTCTAACGGTTAAAGGGGGCCTAGACGTGAATATTCGTGGGCAGGGGTCTATGCGAAATCTCTGTACCTTCCACTCAATTTGTTCTGAAACTAAAACCCCTCTGAGTCAATAAAGCCTATTGAAGGGAAAGGTGCCTAAAATTATACAAAATGTTTACAACCCCCAAAGTGCAGAAGGTGTGAGAACTGTCCCCCCATTGCTTTAAAAAAAGCAAATGTTAAAACAAAAGGAGGAAAAAGGGATTCATTCATTTATTCAATAAATATTTATCAAACTCCTACTATATGAGTCAGGCATTGTTCCCAGTATAGCAGTGGGAGACTGCTGCCTCTGAAAAGCGCACACCACAATCAGTCACCATAGTCAACACATTGCTGAGTGCGCACTGTATGCCTGGCATTGTCCTAAAAGCACAGGTTAAAAAAAATCACATACAATCAACACAGGTGCTTTCTTACTATGTTAACCAACATGTCTTATTCAGGTCTCTCAGTTCACTTTCTTGCTTTTAGTACTTTGGGCTCCTTCATTTCTTATTAGCACCAAAATAAGAAATTAAGATGGCAGAGGCCCTGACCAGGTAGCTTAGTTGGTTAGAGCATTGTCCCAATATGCCAAGGTTGCAGGTTCGATTCCCAGTCAGGGCACATACAAGAATCAACCAATGAATGCAGAAATAAGTGGGACAACAAGTTGATGTCTCTCTCTCTCTCGCAAATCAATAAATAAAAGTGTTTTAAAAAGATGGTGGAGAGGGCAGTAGGAGATAAAAGTAACTTCTGTCACCAAGTAATTGGCCAGCTGCAAAGAGTAGAATAATTATGAGGAAAGCTAAAATTTCCAACAGATTTATTCACACTTCACACTAATGAGTAAGCCAGTAAAAGTTGAACTGACACTTCCATAACTTGTCACTTCTTTCAAATAAGCAGGTAAGAAAAACAACATTAAAATGTAAAAAACTGTTGCTTTGCCATTTCTCCAATGACCAGTCACAACGTCATTAAATCAGTACAACCGATTTATCCTACTACCTTACTTTTTAAACAAAGTCTTGAGTACATTCATTTAGTTCTTCTTACAAATGTAGATCCCTCTTTTGACTCTGATGCTGTAGGCTAGAGTTAAGACCTACTGTGCATGTGTGCACTGAAATAAGTGGCTACCCTTCAGTGTATATAATGTGGCTTAGATTCAGACAGGTAACTTGCACATAGTAGCTGTTCAATAAAAATTTTTAAACTTTGATGCAAAGGCATTGTTATGAAGAGCTGTACAGAAACCATGCTATTGTGACCTAATCCCCTGAAAGCAGCCGCTTACACTTTGACCTGATACAAAATAGCCCCAACTGACATACAAACTAAGCTAAATAAAGTTATTACAAATTGTGGGTTTTGAGTTCATTTTTATAGTTGTATGATAACTTCCTGACATTTCATGATTCTAAAAATTTCCTAGAATATGAAAGTTTACTCCTATATCAGTGAGAGAGAGAGAGAGAGAGAGAGCATCCCTCTACAAAGCAGGATGTGGCTAAAGAGTAAGCCTTTCATGTGAAGGGCACATTCGAAACCTGCCGTTTTTAAAAGCCCATGTGGACTTGGACTAAAGTTCTAAAATGTGTGCGCACATTTAGGAGGAATTTGTGAAGATCTATGCAAGCTGCAACCACCTGTTCCAAATAACTCACGGCCACCCAAACCAGGGCTCTGGCTCTCCAGAAGCATAATTCTGCCAAGTCAGGCTCAAGCGCCCCATCATTATCTCATTACACATGTGCACAATCCCGAAGCCACCATTCAGGGAAAACCCTCAATCACTGCCCGGGGCTGGGCCACCAACACGGCCCGACACACCGCACGGCCCGAGTCTCTCACCACTGGAGAGCTGGAGCTTGTTTCTCAGAACCCTTCATTATTCCATGTCACAAAACCACTCAAATACTAATAAAATAAGGCGACTGAAAATAGACATTTTGTTGCCCTCATACTTCTTGGCACTTGATCTTAAAGCTCAGACTTCTGCACCCCTCTTAGTGCCAACAAGTGAGTTCTTTCCTTTTTCTCCATTGAACTCTAAGCCACTCCAGAGCAAAGGCCAATACTCTAGGGCAGTGGTCGGCAAATGGCGGCTCGCGAGCCTCATGCGGCTCTTTGGCCCCTTGAGTGTGGCTCTTCCACAAAATACCACATGTGGGCCCGCACGTACAGTGCGATTGAAACTTCATGGCCCATGCGCAGAAGTCGGTTTTCGGCCTGGGCGCGTCTATTTTGAAGAAGTGCTGTTGATATTTGGCTCTGTTGACTAATGAGTTTGCCGACCACTGTTCTAGGGAATGCCTTTTAGCAACAAAAACTCTTCACCGACTTATACTCGCATATATACGGCTGCTAACTGACTCATTCTTCTTCATAAACTCACCAAGTGAAAAAATTTCAAGTAGCTGACACACCTCCCTTAAACATCTTTTCTAGTCAGTTTTTTTGGAAAAATTCAAGTGTGTGGAGTAGAAAGCACAGCGCCATGAGCCTGCCTGTCCCCATCACCCCGCTTCGACAATGACCTACTCATGCCCCCTTTCTTTCATCAACACGCCCATCCACTACCACCCCAACTTCTTTTGAAGCAAATCCAAGACTTCATGTCACTCATATACATTCCAGTTCCCACTCATTTTCAACAGCTCCTTGTTTTGGCCTTCCCTCCCACCCCTCCGCCTCAAAGAAGAAGTGTATAGAATAATGCAGGCACTCGGCCTCCATCATTTCCCTTCTCAGCCACCTCCCTCTTGTGGATCACCTTCGAGAACATTCACCAGCATCACTGTGAAGTGCCCACCAGTGCACATAAATGCCCACCGGCCCCTATTTTACCTAGAAATACATTGTAGTTTCCCCCAGAACCCCTTTCTCTAGTTTGAACAAGTAAAAAAATAAAATAAAAAAATCGTGCCAATATTTCTATTCTCTTGATACAAATTACTTCTGATTTACTCCCCCACCCCAGATAAGCTGAGAAGAGCCGATGGGAGTGGAGCAGGAATAGAAGAGGAAAGAAAGAAATGCCCGGGACTAGCTCTAAAGTATAAAGTGAAGGCAAGCACCAAGTATGAAATAGCAGGTTCTGCCTCGGTAGGTGTGTGCACATACTTTAAACCATCTGTTATTTTATTTTAAAACTGAATACTTGTAAACATCAGCCAACATCTTGGGTTCCTTTCGACAGAGGATGTTTATAGAATAAATCATCTTCATTTAAGGGGGCTCTTGCCCTCGGGATTTTGGTGAATAGCTGTAGCTGCTTCGGAGCCTCCGAAATGGTTATGTAAGAACAATTTAAGACAAAAAGATAACGAAGGGAGGGTGCCTGCGCGTCTGTGCCCTAACCTTGTCCTGGGAGGTGAGATCCCCGCGCCCCCCCCCCCTCTCCTCCACACCCGCCACCAGCGGCTCCGAAGGGGGGCCCTTCCCCGCGCCTTGGAGGTAGGTGCCTCGTCTAGAACATTTCAGTGCAGGACTGAGATTTCCTCCTCCCCCCGGACGCGGACTGCCCGTCCCTCGCCCAGTGATCCCCCAGGAGCCCAGAGGGGGCCGGGCCCGAGCTCCATCCCACACCCTGGGCACCGCCAGGCCTCCCGGCTCGCCCTGGTGGGGCACCGGCTTCCGGACGCCAGGCCCCCGGTGACCCCGCACCGCGGGCGGAGGATCCGGTGCAGCCCCTCCCGCCGCCCTCCCGCTGGAAGATTCACCCCGCGCGTGCCCCTCGGGGGGCTCTCCCCCACGCCGGCCACTTCCCTCTCCGCCGCCGCAGCCACCTCAGTGCAGGGTGGGGGCGCCCCGACGGGAACTACCAGTGCCCCGAGCCGCCTCCGGAGGGCAGGCGCCGGCTCTCGCCCCCGCGGCCCCCAACCCAGGTCGTGGGGCTCGGCCCCGCCCCCGGAAGGAGCGCCGGTCGGCCCGCACCTTCCCGCAGAGAACGCAGCCCTAGGAACTCGGGGCTGGGCGCCCCGGGAAAGAACGCGGTCCCCCAAACCCGAGGCTTCCACGCCCCCATCGAGGCAGGTCCGGGGCGCGCCCGCCGCTCACCCGAGGGACTAAGGTTCTGCCCCCCACGTTCCGCGGGCCTCAGGCCGCCGGGACCCCGACCCGCGCCCCCAGCTCAGGCCGCCGGGGGACCCCCCACCCGCTCCGCCCGCCGACTCCCCCCGCCTGGCTCGCGCGTCCTGCTCGGGCGGAGGCCCGCGAGGGGCACCCGGCCCCGCGCCTCCCTCAGGCCGCGGGGACCCCGACCGCGCGCCATCGCCTCCCGGGCCGGCCCGGCCCGCGTGCCCTGCCCCGGCGCGCCAGGCACCGTCCCCGCAGCCCGCGGGCCCGGCCCCGCACTTACCCAGAGCTCGGTGCCCCAGCTCATGGTGCAGGGGGCGGGAAGGGGCGCGCCGCGCGGCGGGCGCGGCTCTCCGGTCCCCCTCCCCGGCGATCCCTTCGCCCTTCGAGATCCCCGCGATCGAGGAAAGCCCGGGCCCGCGCCGCCGCCGCCCTCTCCGCCTCACGGATCCTCGCCGGGTCCCCTCGGCGGCTCCTCCTCCTGGTCGCTCCTCAGCAAAATGGCCCGAGGAAGCGGCAGCCCCGGCAGCCGCAGCGCCCGCCCGCCCGCCCCACGCCCGGGAGTGAGGGGAGGAGAGGGCGGGCGGAGGGGCGGGGCGGGGGCGGGGCCCGGGCCGCGCGCCAGGGGCGGGGGCGGGGCCTCCTGACAGCTCGCGCACGCGCCCGGCCCGCCTCCCTCCCGAGCCCGCCGCCGGGACCCCGTCGCCCAGGGGTCCGGAAGGAGTGTCCCCGCCGATTTTTAAAAATTACTTAGGAGCCACCGCGCTCCGCTCTGGGGCCGGCCACGGGTCTTCGGACAGAGCGGCCCCTGTTACTGCCGGTGCCCTGCGGGGCCTTTGGCTGCTCCTCTGCGCGGAGCTCCGCTTCGCACTTGCCGGTGCTTTTCCCCGGCAGCCATGCACGCCGACCCGGGTTCGCCCGGGCAGCACGGAGCCCGGGAGCCTAGGAGCCTGGAGCCCTGCGCGGTGGGCGTGGGGCCCGGCGTAGTGATGTCTGCGCGCGGTGCAGATAGGGACGTCGAGTCGAGAGCGACCGAGTAGCTTCGAGTGGCTGGGGCGGTATCCAGGGGCGCACAACCAGTGATTTCTAATCTGAAACCAGTGGTTTCCAACCTGTTCAGCCAAGAAACTCTGAGACGTGAAATCGCGTTGCAGCTTCGTGGGTACAAACAGAGGCCCTGGGTCCACAGATGAGTGTTTGGTTCCAACCCAGCTTCCCGCGCGCACTGGCTGGGGGGCCGGGGACCAGGACTCCACCTCTCCAGCCGCGCAGAGCCCCCGCCTGCCAAACGGAGGTAGCGCACCGTCTCCGCGGGTGAGTGAAGGCGAGGACCAAGGTGAGCACCTCGTCCCAGGCCTGTGCTGGTAAACTGCGAGCTCGTTCTTAAGTTGACACTGACTCCTTCTCCCTGTATCCCGAAGACCTACACGAACATTCTCGACAAGCTGGGAGAATTACAGGGGCCCCGGCTCTTTCCTCCGAATCACTAGGCCCTCTCTACCTCACTTAACGCTCTGACTTTCCTGGGTAACTCTGGACTCCTAAAGCGGGTCCCATTTTAGAAATATTTCACGAGGCATCTTCCGGATACCTACCTCCCCCTCCCCCCACCTGCAGCCAGTTTGTCATTCTCCACCATGGAAGGGTGGAGCTGAAAAACTTGTAGATGAACCTCCAGGCCTACTTCCTTGGTTGGACAGAGCATACATGTAACCTGTCAAAACTGTTTGCGTCTGTCTTTTGTAAGTTTCCTCCAACCCCCTCGTTTTTTTACTGTGCGTGTTTAAATGTTTTGCTCTCACTGTTACCAGGTCTGGGAACTCTTTCCTCCAGAGACTGCGAGATATAAAATAATCAGAACGGCCAGCCACCTACCTCCCAAGAGGATTAACAGTGAGGGTGAGTTGGAGGGGTTAGAAATTCAAAACCCTGCAGAGTTTAGCTTGCTATCTGGCAACTGTGAAGTGAAAAAAGCAGGCTGTCTATGACCTAATACAATGATCCAATCTCTCAGCTGAGTTCTTGGAGACTTCAGAAACAGTGACCACTTGTACAGTTTGCTAATCAGGAGGAAAACAACCTGCTGATCTAAAGAAGAAAAAGAAAAGGGGAAAAGGAGGAATGGCCAGCAGAAGTGAAAGAGAGACCACATTAGGATGAAAACCTTTTAAGATGAGTAAGCAGGAAGTACTTACAGAAACCCATTAAAAGCCACAGCAGCAGACATATGGAACTGGGCTAATTATACCACATTGCAAATATCTTATAAGTACCGCGCGCTAACCGATTGCGCGACTGGAGCTCCGGCGCCACATTGCAAATATCTAACTTCATTAAGTTTGGGTGGCAACTCGAAAAGGTTTGAATAGTCAGAATCTTTAAAAAAATAAAGGAGAAAGACACCACTGATCTTGAAACAATGGAAACAAACAGGGTTTGGGATGAAGAGAAATAAGCCAGCGGAGAAAAAGATAAATACAGCACAGTATTACTTAGAAAGAACTAGATCTATTCACTTTTCCTAATAACAAGAGGGAGTGATTCCAAGACAAGGAATAACCACTATTGAGAAATTACTGTGACCTGACATACTTAGGAATCAGTTTTCACAAGAGGGATTCTAAACCCTGGCCACATAAATGCTGGGGTGACCAGGGGTCAGGCTGGGCTGTGTCCCCCTGCTTCACATCAGTAACATCTACCAAGCACTGATTCACACGGTTATGATCTTGGTGGGAGACAACGGAAATTTCCACGGAATAAACCCGTCACCTGGACATGATTGGCACTGGGAAAAGGTGTCTGGATAGGCTGCTGCAGTGCTAGAGGCAAACAATTCTATTAGGGCTTTTTTGGCCATTGTAATGGTGCTTGCAATTAATAAACACCCAATTCAGGGGCTGTCACAGGCAGGTTTTGTAATTGTTAAACTGGGATCCTAGTGTTCTACTACTTTTTAGGTGTGTCCCCTTCCGAAAGTTATCTAGACCCTCTGCGTGCACCTCAGTTTCCTTGTTCATAAAATGGGGACCCCATAGACCAGTGATGGCGAACCTTTTGAGCTCCGCGTGTCAGCATTTTGAAAAACCCTAACTTAACTCTGGTGCCGTGTCACATATAGAAATTTTTTGATATTTGCAACCATAGTAAAACAAAGATTTATATTTTTGATATTTATTTTATATATTTAAATGCCATTTAACAAAGAAAAATCAACCAAAAAAATGAGTTTGCGATAGTTCGTCATCACTGTCATAGACTGATATGAGGCTGAAATGAGGGAGCTGGTGGGGACACAGGCTTTGGTGTTAGCTAAATTTAGATAGCTATGTAGAGCTTTGGTTGAACTATTTTTCTGCTTTAATCTTCAGTTCCCTCTATAAAATGGAAATACTACTACTTACTTCAAAGGTTACTGCAAAAATGAAAAGAAAAAAAACCCATGCAAAATGCTTAGCACAGAGGGCATTGTATTGGTTCCCTTTCCCTTCCTCTTGTTTTCTGGAGGATTTTTACTTATTGCATCAAGGAAATCAGTCCTTTAAGCACCTTTGATGCAGCAAGACAGCTTGATTAAACTACAATTGATTGTTGTCTATTGGTGAAGTATTATTCCTATTGAAATTCTCAGGATTTTTTTTTTCAAATAGCTTCCATCAGTTTCAGCTTAAAATTTCCCATTTGTTGCCAAAGCCGGTTTGGCTCAGTGGATAGAGCGTCGGCCTGAGGACTGAAAGGTCCCAGGTTCGATTCCGGTCAAGGGCACGTACCTGGGTTGCGGGCACATCCCCGGTGGGAGATGTGCAGGAGGCAGCTGATCGATGTTTCTCTCTCATCGATGTTTCTCACTCTCTATCTCTCTCCCTTCCTCTCTGTGAAAAATCAATAAAATATATTAAAAAAAAAAATTCCCACTTGTTCAGCATTTGAACTACTTACTAAGGACCCAAGAAAGCAGTCAACTGGAAAAAGTTGGAGTGGGATAAAAGTAGGAACTCTATGGAGGAGAATTTTAAAACTGCAACCAATTTTTGTGCCTGATAATGGACTTCCCCTGAAGGTCTATAAAGATGTGCACAAAATCAGGAAAACCCAGCTGTCCTATGGCTGAACAAGTTACAGAATAGGGGAAGTAAATTTAACTTTTTCCCCAACCCCCAGGATTGGAAATGTGTCAGGGCCAAGCCTTTCCATGAAGCTCACTCTCTGCAAGAAAATGCCATGGGCTTCCCCCAAGCTGCAAGAAATGACATTTCTAGTCAAAGAATGAAAGTGACATTTGACTTCTAAATGTTTTGCCAGGGCCTGGCCGGTGTGGCTCGGTTGAGTGACGTCCCATGAATCAAAAGGTCACCAGTTTGTTTCCAGTCAGAGCACATACCCGGGTTGCAGGTCTGAGCCCCCGTTGGGGCGTTGGGGTGCATACAGGAGGCAACCGATCAACTGATAAGTGTTCCTCTCTCCTTCCTCCCTTCCTCTCTCCTTCTAAAATCAATAAAAATGTATATTTTAAATTAGATAAATAAAAATAAATGTATTGTCAGGCTCCAATTTGATCTCTAGTCTCCTATACTGTCTTCATAGAGGTTTGGGTTTGAAATATCAACTCTTTTGATAAGAAAACAAATGGCAATTATACCTTATTACAACTGGAGAATATTAACCCTTTAATTACTTAAAATATGCCAAATATTATTAATCACATTAGGTCCAAACTACAGATTCTGCTACTATTGGCAACCTTTAGTGGATCCTGCAAAGTTAGAGGAAATAGAAAAAAAAATAAATGCACTTGACTAAAGAGAACAAGGCTGAAAGCCAGGTTTAGGAGAACAGTTTTTCCGGCCCCTCCAGGCCTTTCCAGCCAATACCTTACAGTGTAACGCCCCTTGGAAAATGTTGCCTAGGACAAGCAGGCAGAACTTGTTCTGTTACTGAACATGTCTGTTTCCAGTTACAGTAGCAGAAGTATGCAAATGATCTTTTCTTGAAACAGATCATGCGTCTAAACAGAATTACCAACAGAGCAGTTTTCACAGAATTTGAAAACTGTCTATAAAGTACGTCATTTTAAGTCTCTGTATAATTAGTGTTCCCCTTTTGATTTCTCTCAATTTCAAACTAATGACCGGCACAACCAAGTCCCTGAGAAAACTATACCTCCTCAACCTCGCAGATACCACTGGTATGTAACTCTGTAAAACTCACATAATGATTTCTGAGTGAAAAGAAGCAAGGAATAAGAACCAGCTTTAAGCCCTTAAAATTTGTTTTCCAGAAACTAAAAGAAGTCTTCTATTTTATAAGCTATTTAAGTGTTTGATCACTATTATATTATTAAATGAAATTAAGACTATTCCTGGTCATTCCATTTTTAAAAGCCTATTATTACATTCAAATTTAAAACAAGGGATTCTCAAAAATGGTACTTCACTTAAAAAGTAAACAGTATTTCAAAGCATTGCAAACTGCCTTTAAAAATGAAACTGCCCTGACCGGTTTGGCTCAATGGATAGAGCATCGGCCTGTGGACTGAAGGGTCCCAGGTTCGATTCCAGTCAAGGACATGTACCTTGGTTGCGGGCGCATTCCCAGTAGGGGGTGTGCAGGAGGCAGCTGATCGATGTTTCTCTCTCATCGATGTTTCTAACTCTCTATCCCTTTCCCTTCCTCTCTGTAAAAAAATCAATAAAATATATTTAAAAAAAATGAAACTGCACTTAAAAACCACCTTTCCCTTTAACAACCAGTTTCATACTGAAGTGAGAATCAGTTAACTGTCTTTGGTATTTCTCTTGATACATAAAAGAAAGGATCACATTCCTAGCATGTTTTTTCAAACTGCTGATTTTTAAAATGCTTTCTGGAAAATTTTATTTGCTAACACATTAGTTACTCAGATTCTGGGCTTTTTAACTTTTTGAAAAAATTAAAATGATAAGAACTAGAAAGCCATGGTATAGTGTGAGAAGCACAGGTCCAACTCTGAAACAGCTGAGGCTCCAGTCCTGGTTGCTAAAGGTGCCTGCCAAAAATTATGCCACTGTGCCATGACCTGTTTGGCTCAGTGGACAGAGTGTTGGCCTGCGGACTAAAGGGTCCCGGGTTCGATCCCCAGTGGGGGGCGTGCAGGAGGCAGCCAATCAGTGATTCTCTCTCATCATTGATGTTTCTCTCTCTCTCCCTTCTTCTCTGAAATCAATAAAAATATATTTTAAAAAATTACGCCGCTGTATGTGTGATCTGGAGCCAGTCATTGAAGTCCCTCGGATTTGTTTTCATGGCTGTTAAACAAGGGAGAGGGATCTGTTGGTTGTGTAGGGGCCCTTCCAGCCTAATATGCAAATGATTTTTCTGCAACGATGCAGGACAGATTCAGTCCGGGGGCTTTGTGGGCGGGTCCTGAATGAGAGTTCTATCTGGGTCATTGATAAAAATCAGCAACACACCCTTGAATTAATTAATCTAACCAAGTCCCATCTTTTACAAAGAAATAGCTTACAAGGTTTTTGCGATGTTAAATCACACAATCCTATCCTATCCTATATATTAAAGCCTAGGTGGCGTCACACCCTTAAGTGACGCTGCCACAAGACGGCTGTGTGCACAGAGGAGGCCCGGTGGCCTGGAGGTCCCGCGGCTCTGCACTGACAGGGGAGGCTGGTTCCGGCATCTCCGCTGCCTGGCATGGAGGAGGCAGGTCCCAGCAGAGGAGGCGGGTCCCAGCAGGGGAGGGCAGTTGGGGGCAATCAGGTCACCAGCCAAGGTGGGTGCCAGCGGGGGGGGGGGGGGGGGGGGGGCCCGCCTGCCGGCTGCCCCACAGATGGCCCTGATTGCCAGCCAGGCCTAGGGACCCTACCCTATATATTGGGAATAGTCTCTTAGATTTAAAAATTAAAACCTGGCAAGGCTACTCTAACCCTGAAAAACAGGATGATGCAGTGATGACATGCATGGACTCTGGCTTGCACATTTTGTGGTCAGCCCTGATTCTGATACTTATAACTGTGTAACAAAGCCAATTACTTAACTTCTCTCTGCTTCAGTTTTTTCACTCATAAGGTGGTAGATGTACCATCTACCTGGTACTACTGCCTCAGAAGGATCATATTATGAACTACTTCTTATAATCAGGGCAAAAAGATGTAGCTGCCCATACAACAGCAAGACGCCTTTCACCTGTGTGAAAAGTATGGTCACTGGTGCACGCAGCGTCCCGGACTGTGAGAGGGAGGTCCGACTGCCAGTTTAGGCCCGACATCCCTCGAGGGGTCCCAGATTGTGAGAGGACGCAGGCTGGGCTGAGGAACTCCACCGCCCCCCCCCCCCCGCACGAATTTCGTGCACCGGGCCTCTAGTGTATATATAAAGTACCAGCAGACTACTTGGCAAACTTAATCACTCAATAAATATATTTAACTATGATTATCTTGCTGTGTGGATTCACAAAATAAGTTTGTCTGTAAAATGGGGTAGTAAGGTCAGATGAAAATTCTGTTCAAAGATGAAAGATTACATATTAGTAATATATGGTCAAAGACCAGAGGTTGGAGAAAGGACGGATACTCTTCACCACCCACCACCTAGTAAACATTGCCTTTCTATCTTCCTGGAGCCACATTAGTGCCCTACTTTTGTCCTGGCAGAGGGTGTGACTGGACTTGTACATTACCGTGTTGTTGCTTTTTACTCAAGGGAAGAATTCATAGATTCACGATTTTACTAAGGTTGCACACAGGTAGCCCTACCCGGTTTGGCTCAGTGGATAGAGCGTCGGCCTGTGGACCCAAAGGTCCCAGGTTCGATTCCGGTCAAGGGCGTGTACCTTGGTTGCGGGCACATCACCAGTAGGAGGTGTGCAGGAGGCGGCTGAGGTTTCTCTCCCATTGATGTTTCTAACTCTCTGTCCCTCTCCCTTCCTCTCTGTAAAAAATCAATAAAATATATTTTTTAAAAAAAGATTGCACACAGCTAAAAGATTTAGGTTCCTTCCTTTCTCCCGCCCTCCACCCCTACCTATTCTGTATTTTCCCAACTGGTTTTTTTTTTTTTTTTTTTTTTTTTTTTTACCTGAGTGCAGCAGCACTTTAGCTCCATTAAAACATGTTAATTTCAGTTCCTATTTCCAGTTAAAAATTTTTGAGAATCTGATTCTGTCATAAAACACACTAATACACTGACAGTCACCCAGTACTGGGGTCCTGGGTGGTTTTTATTTTCTCCTCTTTAGCTTAAATGACTTCACACAAAGAGCAAGCATTACTTGTGTGGCAAGCTGGAAAAAAAAATCTAAAAACTAAACAAAGCTGGCTAGTCTATTAGCAACTTTAATAAGCATGTTCTTCTATACCTACTTAATAAAAATGGTGAGAGGAGGGAACCAACTACTGAATCTTTCCATTCCTTCCACTGGCCGGGTGGCTGGGTGGGTTGGAGCCTCCTCCTGTACAAGAAAGGATACAGATTCTATTCCTGGTCAGAGCGCATTCCCAGGTCCTGGGTTTCTCTCTCACATCGATATTTCTCTTCCACCCCCCCCCCCCCCCCCCGCCCCATCCCACCCCCATTCTCCTCTCTCTAAAATTAGTAAACATCTAGGATGAGGATTAAAAGAAAAAGGATCTCTCCATAAATTCCACAGTTTCCACACAGAATTAAGAGAAAAATGTTGACACTCGTGACTCTAGTGGTCGGATGAAACAGCATGAAGCAACATAAAATAGTAGTTAAAGGTTGCCGTGTGGTTCTCCGCCAACCTGGGGCAAATGACTTAATTTTTCAGAGGCTCAGTTTGCTTACCTGTAAAGTGGGGATACACCTACCGCCTACCTCATTAGACTGTTCCGAGGATTAAATGCAATAATGCCGACAAAAGGCCTAACCAAGTAAGGTCTTAATAAATCGTATTACTGCAACCATTTCGTTTGAAATTTGAGTGTGAAGTGCCTCCAAAAAATAACAATCAAGGGACTTCTAACAAGCCAGGAACTTGGCATTTCCCACCGAGTCAATGCAGCCTGTGAAATCAGTCCAATGAACCGCCAGGCAAGGTGCCACGGCCGCTTTAAGAGATCCCCACCCTCGGAGAGCCGGGTTCCCCCGCGGGCCGGGCTCGCAGGTCCAGGTCGCTTTCAAAGCTCGGCGGGAGGTAGGTGTGGTCCGGTTGTTCCCATGACAACCGCCCTGGGTCCTCCAGGAGGTCCCACCTCTTCTAGCTAAACCGAAATCCGCACCGGGAAAGCCGACTGAACGGCCCCTCGGCGCCTGACCCGGCCCCGCATTCCAGCAGGAGAGCCACCGGCACCGCCCCGGAGGCCGCCGCGCCCCGCCCTCTACTTCCAGGCCCTTCCGGCGGCCGCCGCCCTTTAACCCCGGAAGTGCTTGCAGGGAGCGGAAGCAGCTGGTGATGTTGGAACAAACATGGCTGCCCCGGCGCCCCTCGGCCCCTCGGGCTCCCGCTGTCCTCGGCTCTTCGCGGGCCTCCGGTGGCTTCCGCTCCTGGGGCTGCTGCAGCTGCTGGTGGAGCCCGGCCTGGGCCGCGTCCACCACCTGGCGCTGAAGGTAAGGCGGGGCCGGGCCGGGCCGGGCCGGGGGGCGGAGGCAGAGGCCGCTCCCCGGGCTGGAGGCAACTTTGGCGGGGGGGCGGGAGGGAGGCTCTGAGCAATTGCCCCCCCTCCCATTGCCCCCCGGCGTGGCCTCTTTGTGGGGAGGTCTGTTGGGAGCTGGGGAATGGCGCGGGTCCTCGCGCCGTCTGGGAGGGGCCGGGAGACGCTGGCGGACCGGGGAAGGGGCGGAACTGCGGCGAGACTCTGCGGACCCGGAAGGCCGCGCTAGCAACCCCCGTTGGCGTCCCGAGGTCCCCGCTGACAGCAGCCTGCTCTTCTTCCTCCAGCTTTTACCCCCGGCTTGACTTGTCCGCGGCCTCCGCTTTTCCATCCCCTTGTGCCTGGCGGTTAGAAGGTACCCGGAATCTTAGTCGCAGTTTCCGGGTTCGGCTCAGGGCGCTCTCTGGTCTGATCCAAGTGGAGGAGGGATTTTCAAGTTTCGCCTGAAATATAGGACCGAGAACTTAAAAACCAGCATTAAAACTATGTTTCCAATGCGAGACCCTGTCTTGTCCGTCGCTCCTGTCCTGTCTGTCTAGGGAAGAAGTTTCTGCTGGTCCTAGAATGATCCCTGGGACCTTGCTTCGTAACTCACAACTCAAAGTCATGGAAGGCTATAAAAGGTGCCTCCAGGCGGGTCGGCAGGTCAATCTGTCTGGAGAATAGGAAACTAAATTACGACCCTAATCCTTGTGCGTGATTTTCATAATACGCAGTTGTGGGATTGTAGAAAACTTGTCTTATTAAACACGTTCTATTTGTGAACGTGGAGTTGAAGGAATACAGAATCTGCTCAAAAGCATGGCCGTACCTTGGATTTGTAAATACAAATGATCTTGATTGAAGTGGTTCTCAGCCGCAGGGAGTTAGGTGAGTTTTTTTTCTTCTTCTTTTTATCAGTTAGGTGAATCTTGACTCTCTTTGAGAATATGCTAAAAGTTATAGAACCTTTCCCCCAGAAAAGTGCAGGTAACTGCTTAGACGAAACTTTCTTGGAATTTCTAGGGCTTTATAATCCTGCTGAAACTTATCTAAAGGCCCTGTCCCTCAAGCTTATGACTCCCAAATTCAGAACTCCTGACCTTAATTTTTTTTTAAGTGTTTTTATTTATTTCAGAGAGAGAGGAAGGGAGAGGGATAAAGGGGTAGAAGCAGCCATGCCTACACCTTGATTTTGGACATCTAGCCTCCAGAACTGTGAGAGCCTAACTTTCTGTTGTTTTAAAGCAACCCAGTCTGGGGGTATTCGTTACAGCAGCCCTTGGAAACTAATACAACATACATTCAACTTCGCTTCAAAGCGCTGCCTTCCTAGTAACATGGTATTACTTTGTTTTTGAGTAGTAACTTTTAGAGAATACCTTAGCAATGTAGTGATGTTTGTAAGTAGATAAATCAGATATCTCCTTGTAAAAACACTCCAGAAGCACTGCCCACAGATCGGGATCCACCTGATCACACCGGCCTTAGGTGCAGTGCCTGCAGCTCCAATGCACAGACTGCGTTGTGAATTTTAGCCCCCCCCCCCAAAAAAAAATATCTGAAAAGTTTTGGGAAATTAAATTATCGCTGCTGTGCCTCATCTCAAGCCCACTGACTGTTAGCTGGTCCATCCTGGTAAACCTCAAATGCCTCCTTGGCATGTCTCCAAAACTGATCAGTACGTAAAACTAATGTTTGCTACAGATGGGGGTCTTCTGAGTGTGCTGTGTCTGTGCAGTTAGAAAAGGGTGCAGTGTGCCACTGCAGCAGTATGAGGTCAAGCCCAGCATCTTGGCCTTGTGAGCATGGAGGAGTTTGGTCAGGACAGCCCCACAGCTCACCGGGGGCAACTCAGAGCGAAGATAGGAAGACAGCTGGGGAGAGGCACGGGGGTAGATGCTGTTGACACACTCGGTGTTGTGTTAAATCTTGTGTCCCTCTTAAGTATGCCACCAGAATTCTAGTATGCATATGAGATTGCTCTGTGCACAGAAAGGCTGGGACCTCCAGTCCAGTGACAACTGCTCTGGGCTCTCGTGGGGAAAATGAGGTGTCCTACAGAATCTAAATTTTAAATGCTAAATAGTAGATGGTTTTTATTCATTGGCTCCTCATAGCGGCCCCTTGAGAAAAATGCTGTTATCCCTGGTTTATAAATTTGAAAAACAGAACTTGGGTTACATAAGAGGAGGAGGCCAACTTTGAACCTGGCATCCGTGCTCTTTGCATTCGGCCACTTGTACTGGCTGAGCAGCCCTCGATGCCTGTCCAAGAGGCCAGCCCTGATTGCCAGGACCCCAGACTTCTGTGTTTGCATTTTCTTTCAGGCTTTTTATAATTCTTCCTCTATCCTCATGTGCTTAAGCTGTCATATTTTTGTTGTCTAAGAGAATTTGACCCTATTCATTTTGTGAATTGTTCTCTATATACAATGATCCAAGAAATTAAATATTAAGCTTCCTTGGTAGTGTCTCCTACCATGAATAGTAGGCAGTCAGTAAATGGTAGGTGGTATTATTCTTGTTGTGTTCCTGTGTTAGTGAGGAACTGATCATGGATGCCTAAAGGTACTTTTGCTTACTGAGGTCACAACCATGGATGCTATTCGAAGCTACGCAGATACTTTTTAATTGAGCTGGCTGTGTGAGATAGCAGAGAGAATGGCCAGCTCCTTCCTTCTGCGGTGGCTGCTGCCTCTCTGTTCCAGCGGGTTGTGGCTGCATTGGAATGTGGCCTAGACGTGCTGGGTCTTGTGGTATGTTTTTGTTTTTGAAAGAAAAGCTATAGCCCAGCTGGCATGGCTCAGTGGTTGAGCTTCATCCTATGAACCAAGAAGTCAGGGTTTGGTCGCCGATCAGGGCATATGCCTGGGTTGTGGGCTCAATCCCCAGTGTGGGGTGTGCAGGAGGCATCTGATCAATGATTCTCTCTCATCATTGACGTTTCTATCTCTCTCCCTCTCCCTTCCTCTCTGAAATCAATAGAAATCTCTCTAAAAAATAAAGAGAAAAACTAGAAATTTAGGCTTTTATGTGAAGTTAGCCAGAAATTAATTCAAATTAAAAAACACAAAACACTGTTGGCCCCATCTAAACATTCATGTACCAGTACAGTCTGTGGACTGCCAGTTGGGTGAACTTTAAAATAAGGAAGTGGCCATGTATGTGACCTTTAGGTAGTTCAGTTAAGAGTGACCACATTTCGCCCTGGCCGAGTAGCTCAGTTGGTTCGAGAGGTGTCCCCACACAGCAAGGTTGAGGGTTCGATCCCTGGTCAAAACACATGCAAGATTTAATCAATGAAGGCATAAATAAGTGCAACAACAAACTGATTTCTCTTTCTCCCTCCTTCTCTCTAAAATCAATAAATAAAATTTAAGAGCGACCATATTTATTTTCTGAAGTCCCGTTTATGAGAAAAATTGAAGTATCATTACTCCACTTGCTTTATGTTTTAAAGTAATTTTTTTTTAATTTTGTTTTATTGCTTAAAGTATTACATATGTCTCCTTTTTCCCCCGCCCTTGACATTCCCCCGGCCTCCCCTAACCCCCAGTGTCTTGTGTCCATTAGTTATGCTTATATGCACGCATATAAGTCCTTCGGTTGATCTCTTACCCCCCTCCCGCCCCCCAACCCTCCCCAGCCTTCCTGCTGTATGCTGCTCTGCCTCTGTATCTATTTTTGTTCATCAGTTTATAATGCTCTTTATTATCCATAAATGAGTGAGGTCATGTGGTATTTTTCTTTCATTGACTGGCTTATTTCACTTAGCATAATGCCCTCCAGCTCCATCCATGCTGTTGCAAATGGTAAGAATTCCTTCTTTTTTACAGCAGCATAGTATTCCATTGTGTAGATGTACCACAGTTTTGGTTGCCAACGGCACTTTATTTTTTCTTTTCAACATCCAGTTCTGCAGCTTCTTTGGCTCTTTCTGTCCTGATGCCAAAGAGCTGGGCATTGGCACGGGCCAGGCGAAGACTGGCAAAAGCCTTGAAGTTCTTCTCCTCCTCTGTGATGACCCTGGCTTTCTCCTTCTTGTAGACATTCCGGATGGGCATGACTGGTCCGCTCAGCTGGGTGGCCAATTTGAGTTCTTCAGCAGAACTGTCTCCCTTCTTGGGGGCCGAAGGCTTCCTGGGGAAGAGGATGGGCTTGGAGCGGTACTCTGTCAGCCGCTGCACGTTGGCCTGCAGGGACCCACTGAGATCCCAGTGGTCCAGGCCACCTTTTTGTGGATGCCAGCCGCCCTTAACCCTTCCAAGCTGAAGGGTGGTTCCTGGAGGTGGGGCATCTCACTATGGGTCCGATGGGTCAGAGGGGGATGCGGCGCTTTGGCTTGCCTGGCCTTGCGTCTGTGGGCTGGTTAAACCACGTGGCAACGCGCCGCTGCCGGTCCTTGTGGAAGTGGGGCTTTAGGATCATGCCATTTCGGCTGGGCGCCATGGCTGCTGCCTGCGGGCCTTCTCCCAAGAAGAACGGCCTGTTTTAAAGTAATTTAATGTGAAATTGTTTAGGGAGTTAAAGCAAAAGTATGTATGTTCTGCTGTTCAGTTAAGAGCAGACTTGTCAGTGTGAAACAACTGTTTTGAAACTAAGGAAAAGGAGAAAATGTGCCAAAGTTGTAGTTGTCTTGAGGCATTTTTTCTTTCATCTCCAGATCAGACCTTTCTTCTGAGCTTTGGGCAAGTGTATCCAACTGCCGGCTCTGCATTTCCTCGTAGGCGTTGCATAAGCACCTAAGAAACAACTCACCCTTCCACTCCCTTCACTCTCAGCCTGTATACTCGTCCAGATTGTCTTAGTAACTGTGTTCTTCACTTCTCATAGATGGGTGTTCTAAGTAGCTTCCTCCTCCCCCCACCCCCCACCCCCCAGTCCATCCCCGGCTCTGTCGTCACCTGAACTCGTCGGTCCAGGCCATCCTTATATCTCATGGACCAGTGCAGTCTTCTCACACTTGTGTCCCAGA